ACACGAAGGCATCTTTTGCTACCTAGTCATGGCCTTCGGCCTGAAGAATTCGGGCGCCACTTACACCCGGATGGTGGCCAGAGTCTTTCAAGCTGTCCTAGGGCACACCATGGAGGCCTATGTTGACGACATGATCGTCAAAAGCAAACAATCATCAAGCCATGCTGACGACCTCCGGGAGATCTTCGCCATCATGCAAAAATTCAACCTGTGGCTAAACCCGAAGAAATGCACCTTCAGCGTGCAAGGCGGCAAGTTCCTGGGCTATATGGTGAGCCGAAGGGGCATTGAGGCCAACCCGGAAAAAATTCAGGCCATCATCAACATGGAGCCCCCACGCAACGTAAAGGAGGTCCAAAGGCTGACGGGCCGCCTGATAGCCCTCAACCGCTTCCTATCCAAATCGGCGGAGAAGTCCTTACCCTTCTTCCAGATCATGAGGAAGACCGCCGGCTTCCAATGGACTACTGAGTGCCAGGTGGCCTTCGACGAGCTGAAGCAGTATCTATCTTCACCCCCTGTGCTCTCCAAGCCCAAGGTAGGGAAACCCTATACCTCTATCTTGGCGTCAATTCCGTTGCCATCAGCTGAGTGCTAATTCGAGAGGAAGACGGCATCCAACACGCCATCTTCTATGTTAGCAAAACTCTCAGGGAGGCGGAACTCAGGTATTCTCCTGTGGAAAGGACGTTGCTAGCCATCGTTTCGACCGTCATGAAATTGGGCCATTACTTCCAAGCCCATCCAGTTCAAGTGCTCACACACCTACCCCTCGGCGCCCTCATGAGGAGCCCCACCAGCTCCTCTAGAATGGTGAAACGGGCGATCTTCCTCAGCCAATACAACATTGACATCCGCCCGAGGCCCGCCATCAAGGGCCAAGCCCTGGCGAACTTTGTGACGGAGTGCACGTCAAGATCAACGGTGGATGAGGAGCCCTCGGCACCCTCGGATGAATGGTGGACCGTCTATACCGATGGCTCCTCAGCCACCAAAGCATGCGGAGGAGGGGTAGTTCTCATTACTCCCGAAGGCTTCCGCGCCTATTATGCCATCCGTTTTCCTTCAAAGTCTCCAACAACGAAGCGGAGTATGAGGCCCTCCTATGTGGCCTTCGGCTGGCAGCTAACATGAAGGCCATACAGATCCACGTGAAGTGCGACTCCAAGTTGGTCGTCGGCCAAATCTCTGGAGAATACGAGGCCAAGGAAGGAAGGATGAAACAGTACAAGGAGGAGGCCAAAGAGTTGCTTAAGGTATTTGAAGCGCACTCTCTCACTCAAATACCGAGGGCTCAAAACTCCGAGGCCGACATTTTATCAAAGCTCTCGGCGGAATCCCCGGAGCACCTCTCGAAGATTGCAAGAATTGAGGAACTCAGCCTCTCAAGCATACACGCCATCCCCGTCATGAACGTACAACAAAGGCCTAAGGACTGGATTTCAGACATCATGAACTTCATCTCCACAGGGCACCTTCCCGAGGATGAAACCCGCGCAAAGCTGGCAAAGCTGAGGGCTCCCAGCTACACCGTCGAAGACGGGAGGCTTTACAAACGAACCTACAATGGGACGTTACTCTGGTGCATTCATCAGGGACCCTTCTCCATATCCCGAAGGCTCATAGTTCAGGGTTACTTCTGACCCACGATGGCTCGGGATTGTGCGGACCTCGTTCGAAGGTGCACCGTCTGTCAACACTTTCAGAAGGCCCCCGGAAGACCAGCAGTCAACTATGCCCCCATTAGCACATCCATACCCTTCTCCAGATGGGGCATCGACCTGGTAGGCCCACTGCCAAGGGGTACCTCCAACAACAGGTACATCATTGTCACCATCGACTACTTCACCAAGTGGGTAGAGGCGGAGCCCCTCGCCAGTATTATCGAAGCCAGATGCCGTCATTTTGTCCTCAAAAACATCCTCACAAGGTTCGGCGTCCCCCAAAAAATCATCTCCGATAACGACACTCAGTTTGAGGCAGCCCCCTTCTGTGCCCTCCTAGAAGCATGGGGCATCAAGCAAACTTTTCTTCTGTTGCCTACCCTCAGGGCCATGGTCAGGTAGAGAACGCCAACTGAACCTTGCTCGAGGGCCTAAAAAAGAAACTGGAAGCCGAAGGGGGAGGTTGGGTCGAAGAACTCCACAACATCTTGTGGGCCTACTGCACCACCCCTCGACGGGCAACGGGCGAAACACCTTTCTCCCTATGTTATGGATTCGAAGCTAAAGCCCCACGGAGGTGACCCTTCCTACCCGAAGGGTGGACCAGTATGAGCCGGAGGTCAACGACGCCAAGGAAAGCTAATGGTGACCCCTCCTCGGCCAAGGTGAACATAAAATGGAAACAACAGAGCAACAGTGGTGCTCCACCCCTCGGCTAAACTGTACCACACCGGGGATCACCTCGGCTACACTATCGGCCGTACAATCATCGGCCATGCAACTGGAAGAATTTCACTCCGGCCAAGATAATCAAACACACATAGGTCAAAAGTGCACCATTGGCGGAGAGAGATGCACCTCCTTCGTCCAAGGTCACTTCGGTCAAACAACGGACCCCCTGCAGTGGCGGCGCATCGGCAGCCAAATCGGCGGACCATCGGCCAGAGTAGGGATGGACTAAACCGGCCCGGCCCGACCCGGAACCGGCCCGTTACTGTTTGGGCCCAGACCGGACCAGAACCGGTTGGCCGGTTCCGGGCTTTTAGCCCGTTTGGGCGGGTCGGGTGGGCCGGGCTCGAGCCCAACTTTTGGTGAACCAGCCCGGGCAGTTCGGGCCGGGCCCGTTCAATTTTTTTTTTCAATTTTTTTGCTTTTCTAGGTTAGGGTTGGGTTTTTTGGGGGGTTTGGGGGGTGGGAGTGAAGGGGGGGGGGGGGGTCGGGTGTTAATTGGAAACCAAAAAAAAATTGAACTTGACCCGAGCTCGGCCCGACCCAGTTAGGCCCGGACCCGGTATCAACCCGGGCCAGTTCCGGGCCCAACATTTTGCAAAAAAAGCCCGTCCGAGCCCGGCCCGGAACCGGAACCGGACCGGCCCGGGTCCATCCCTAGGCCAGAGGAACCTCGCCCACCGCGTCGTCCTTGGTCCCCATCGGCCCCAAATCATGGACTCGTCGCCCAGCTCTTGGTCTCTTGGCCATACGACGGAAGAGTAACAGCGCACCCCAGCCTGGAAGCGGTCTTCCGCCATTGGCCTCACAAGGCTAGATTCCTCAAAGGGGGCAGGCCCTGTCAATTATTCGGCCACCTGGATCCTCTCAGCAGTTCAAACGTCGATAAAAAATAAGAGCTAAGTCCTATGACTCATTCTCCCAATTAAATTATCAAGTAATAGCGTAATTATCATTACTATCACTACCTACTAGCCGGTTAAAATCCCAACACTAGTACAAAAAAAGCTTTTCACATCGGTCAAATAGCCGATGTGGTTCCAACCCATGTGAAAAATATTAACTTTTCACATCGGTCAAACAATCGATGTGGAAATTCTTTCTACACTGGTCGTTCAGTGCCCGATCTAGAAGATAATCCAAAACGGCGTTTTAATGATATTTCACATCGGTTATAACTCATGTAGAACAGAAATCACAACGGTTATTTTACAACTGATGTAGAAAAGCTTCAATTTTTCCCGGAGCATAGGTTTTTCACATCAGTTATAACCCATGTAGAAAAGATTTCACATCGGTCATTTTATCAACCGATGTGAAAAGCTTCATTTTTCCGAAACATATGTGTTTCACATCGGTTATAGCCCATGTAGAAAAGCAATCAAATCGGTTATTTTACAACTGATGTGAAAAGCTTCAATTTTTCGGTATTTTTCAGGGAAAAAAATTACAATATGACCCTGTTTATACTATAATCACATCATTAATAGTCTCGTCAACTACTATGGGGGTGTTTGGAACTAATTCTGATTCTGCTTCTTTTTTAAAGCAAAAGCAGAATTAGTTTTCAGAAGCTGGTCACCCCCAGCTTCTAAAAAAACTGATTCTAGGAGTAAATTAGAGCACCAGAATCACTTCTGCACTTTCACCCAAACACCCCAACTTCTGCTTCTGCTCCCTGAAGGAGCAGAAGTAGTTTTAAGAATCAGATCCAAACACCCCCTATAGCACAATTTTTCACCTGTTCACATGATCCATCTAAAACAATAACACAAACTACTCCCTCCGTCCCTTAAAACTTTGCCATCTTTCCTTTTTGGGACGTCCCAAAAAACTTTGCCACTTTCCCTTTTAATCAATTATTTTGTGGTTTCTGTTATTTCTCTCTCCTCTGCACAAATCTCAACCACACAGTTTTTACTTTATTATTCTCCGTGTCGGTCAACTTTGGCAAAGTTTTAAGGGACGAAGGTAGTATTTTTCAATTCTTCCACAAATGTTAAACAAGTTCAAGTAACAACTTAGTACATAATGTATAACTTAGTACAACTTAGTACAACTTAGTACATAAGCTAAAATAAAACAATCCTTGCACAAGTCTAGAGTAATAACACATTGTATAAAGTTACAAGTCTCATCATCACTCAAAAACTTAAACAAACATGTTCTTCATGTGTCGTTGATGGATTGCGTCATTTCTAAGAAATATGATGTCCAACGAGTTCGTACTTCATCAATCTCTTCTGATGATAATGGTTCCGGATTGACGAATCGCTACAAATTAAATAAGAAGGTTATTAAAAAACATTACGTGGAGCAAACCTATTGAATGTAAATAAAATAATAATGTACCTCATCCCACATTTCAAGAATTACCGCTGAAACACTATTCAACGTATGCAACATCACATAATAACCACATTCATAACTCCCAACTTGCATTCGAGACTACAAGTTAGAATAATAACATAATTACTAATCAGGAATTACGATATTCGACTTGGTGCTACACAAATGAAAGTAAAAATAATATACAAAGTAAAGTGGTAAGTATTTACCATAGGAATAATCCATTTCACTCTTCCCTTTCTTGAGTTGAGCCTACGGCTTACCTCCATTGCACTATGTAATTTATAATATTAAATATATATAATAATAAATTATTTATGTAATTAAGATATACAATATATATTCAAAAATTAAATAAAACGGAATGTACAAAATACTTACGCATAAATAATATTTTTGAATTGTCTATTTGGCTTATTCCCCAAAGAACCAAAAAGACAATAGTGTTTTGGACAGGAGAGAGATAACATTTTATTTATCTATGTCTTTTTAATATTACCTCCGTCCCCAAACAACTTCCCACTTTCCTTATTTGGATGTCCCAAAGTAAACTTCACCTTTCCATAAAAAGTGACTTTTCAGTACAAAATATCAAAACCACCCTTACTTTTTACTTACTTTTTATTTGATTTGACATAAACTAAGGCTGTCATGGGAAAGTCAGCTCCCGCTTTAACTTTTCCCAAAAATGTACCTAAGTCAAAAACGAGAAGCTGTTTTTGGGACGAAGGGAGCATAAAATAAAAAGTGATAACTTTTTATTACTTTTAAAACATATCAGCTACTACAGAGTACAGAGACTTTTACAATCATATCTATTTAATACAGACTAACTTTCAATTTCTACCTGTTTGTCAAATTAAACAAAAACTAGATATAACACTTGCAGAACAGATATCTGAGGGATGCATTTATATATAAATATATTGAGAGAGATGAACAAATCGCATGTGGAATATAAAAGTAGATATTAGATGCATATGCCCTCTATGCACCAACAATTAATGGTTCTTTTTCATGCACTTGGGGGACAAGAAAGCAACAACACAATGTCATGAAAATTTATGTGTATCTCACCTAGCACTGTGGCAGCCTCACCCATACCAAGGGTATCTTGAAAGAACTCAACACTTTGATCATAAGAGGTGAGCATTCTCATGTTAAGTGTCATAGCTCTAACAACGGTTGAACCAACACCTTTCCAGAGAGCTAAAACTCCTTCATATGCAACAATACGATAAAAGGCATGGAAGACATTTTTGTAGTTACGCCGATGGGCAGCAGGTAATGTGGCATCAGCCTGCATAGGGATGAGTGCCAAATCCATTGGACTGCCAACACATGCTCCAATCGCTCCAGCGGTCAGCCCACACAAAGCCTTCTGATACAATGGCAACGACTTCCCATCATTTTCTTGAACAACCTTCCTTGTCAACATTCTAATTATGAAACAATCAGTCACCAAATAAGTCAAAGTCCAATGTCATTAAATATTTATGGAAATTCGTCGACACACAAATAAAACCATATTTTCTATTTTATTATGCCATAACTAAAAAATGAGGCATTTTACGAGAAACACTGATTGAAAGCATTTACTGGTACAAACGAAAATAAAGATAAAAATATTTCAATAAAAACAATCATAACCGACAAGCTTACAAAAGGAAAACATGTGAACAAACACTACATTTAGAAACCCTGATGATGTAAGTCTGTTTATGTAAAATAAAACAAAAACAGAAAAGGTATTGATGTAAATGGAATCTGATGATTGTTAAATGTAGCTGCAGCTGGAAATATGAATATGGAATATAAACAAAATTGGCACATGGAAATTCTAAAGTGCAACTAATCACCACAAGCCTTTTCATTCAGAAAGGTTGCTTTGGTGCTTCTATTACTACTATCCTTCCGCACCAAGACGATAAATTGAGGAGACCGACAAGTTAGAGAAAACAGCTCACTCTCCAGTAGCCTCCCCAGCTCCCAGCTCCCCATCCCCCTCCCCAGCTCACCAGCATCCTCCCCAGTCCCCTCCCCAGCCCACCAGTTCCCTCCCCAGCTCACCAAAACCCTCCCCATCCCACCAGCCCCCTCCCCAGCTCCCCAGTCCCCTCCTCGGCTCACCAGCACCCTCCCCAGTCCCCTCCCTAGCCCACCAGCCCCCTCCCCAGCTCGATCCCCATCCCACTCCCCCAGCCCCTCTCAGCTCACCAGAACCCTCCCTATCCCACCAGCCCCCTCCACAGCTCCCCAGTCCCCTCCCCAGCCCACCAACCCCCTCCCCCAGCTCACCAGCACCCTCCCCAGCTCGCCATGTGACACCGCACCCGAACGTCCTTGAAATTCAAATTAAATTTCAAAGTTTGTGTATTGAATTTTCCTATTACTCAACAATTGTGAAACGAGTAATGTTTTACGCAATGCATGATTGGTCATATTGCCGTTTTAGCTCGTATAATAGTAATGGACTTCCAAATACTTAATTGTGCCATCTTATTGAATATAGGGGCCCAACATTATTTAAATAAAGATATATAACCCTTCGATACAAGTAAGAACGGCCGGGCAGCCCAAATGTTATTTTGGGCCTAACCTGCTAAAAGTATTAAGTATTCATGAAGGCCGTCCTAGGACCACTCAAGAATGGTCCACACGGCTTGCAGCCCAGGAATATGAATTCAATGGTCACAAATAAGTGAATGTGTTGGTTAGAGAAGAATACAAACTCCTATAGTCCCACCTTAGGCATTATTGAGCTAAGTAATGGAAATATGGTTTTCTTCTATAATTATACATCATATAAATTATTGGGATTATCCTACTCATGTTAGAGATCAATAATATGATGTGAATAGTTGACTTGTTCTAAATAAATTAGAATGAGTACAAAAGACATCTTATGACAAAAGATAAAATAATAGGACCCATCTTCCCACCTTTGGAAGTATTAGTAGATATTTTACTCTCAAAAATAATCAAGGAACACAAGTGTGTGTTCCACACCTTCCCAGATCCTTCAAAATAAGTAAAGGACGTTAGAAGAGGGAGAAGGGGGCTGGACTTGACAAAAGAAACAAAGAAGGGAGACCCACCTTGTCAATTCCGCACAAAATGGGTGTGTGGTTTGTCTCCCTCCATAATGAGAGTTGTACTCGTCCAATGAAGGTGATTAAGGTGTTCCTGGATAGCCTTTGAAGTCTAGTTTCATTATTGATTGTTTTCTGAGTAAGAAGAGAGAGCATTAAAGATAACAATCGAGGTTGAGTGAACTGCTGTGTATAAACTCGAACAGTGGGAGTGTTGGTGTTGTTTGGTTCGTATCTTGAGCTATACTCATCCAACTAGGGAGTGTGAGGTGTCTACAGAAAGCTCTCAAGATAAGGAATCCGTGGATGTGCGTTTTTCAGCAAACTGAGTAGTGGAAGGCTTCCAAATTGGCGAAATAAAACGCTGCCTTGCAGAAACGGATTTGCTTCTCTAAAGTGAGTTTGAATCCAAAACCTTTCTTTTCATTATCTAAATGATGTGAACGAATTGTGGAAATATTATACACTATTTCAAGGGTATAATATGTTCTTCATAAGGTTACTTTTTTGAAGTATATGTTAGATGCTAACCTAGAACAAACCTTGAAAGGTTATGAAGCGATTTCGCCGGAAAACACCCATTCTAGGGGCTGTTTTCGTATCATCGGTTAGGAGTTGAGCTAGCACCTTGATGAGGCTCTCTAACAATCATTTATAAGAAAGGAATCAGTTCTCAAACTTCCTTGGTCGAATCTTTGAGCATTGGATTGAGAAGGAAAGGTTTAGAGCTCATTTGAGGTGAGGATCGACATCTAGTTGCTTACAACTTGTAGGTTAAGCATGAGATTACCTAAATGTCTAAATCATGTTTTTCATGGATTATAATGATTGATTATTGATGAAATATTGATATATTTGATAATTAATGGAATTGGAAATGATTTGGAATCATTTTGATAAAAATGGAGTTAAATAAACTATTATGTAAAATATGCATTTTTACTCATGTGTGAATTGTGTAGGGACTTACAAGTAGAATATTTGATTTATAAGAATAATCTTAATAGTATTGAATTCCTAGTTAATTATTGTTTGTAATTGTCAAGGAATTGATTCTAAGAATTTGATTGTAAGTGATGTGCTTGAATGTGATTCAAGTGACTTAATTGATTTAGTATGAAGCTAAGATCATATTATGGGCTTTCCGTAAGGATGTCTCAAAATAGATTATTGATATCTCAATTCTAGGCATAGGTTTGCTTAGGAATTGAGTCTATGCCATGGCACGGTGATGTACTTGAGTTGGACTCTAGAAGTGCATGGGTAAATAAGGGGTTGTGATTGATGTCATGCATGGTGATGTACTTGAGTTGGACTCTAGAAATGCATGGGAGATTTGAGGCGGTAGCCTATGATGTGCATTAGTGCATGGTGATGTACTTGAGTTGGACTCTAGAAATGCGCAGTGGAGTAATTAACTTGTGTCATATGATTTGCATGGTGATGTACTTGAGTAGGACTCTAGAAATGCAAACATATGTGTTAGGGTTGGACCCTATGAATTGTCATGACTGGTAGTCATGATGTATTGGGTTGATGATTTGTAAACAAACATCTGGCCTACAGGCCGACTACTTGACTTTATATATAAAGTAAGTATATTTTGAACGGGGTAACTTGGGGTTACAACCTAGATTATATTATCACCCTATTGAGGGTCTTGTGTTTGAAATACTTGTTGTATATCTATTAGATGCCATCCACACCAGTACTTTATAGCCGTATAGAGTACTGACCCCTTTCGGGGGGCGTCCCACCACTATTTCAAGTTGAGGCTAGAGCTTGCTTCCTGTGCTCGTTGCTCGGGTGATCATATTGGAGAGAAGACTTGGTTCGTGCTTCCTCCATTCTGTTTTTGAACATTTATAAAAATGCTCATGAATATTTTTTACTATAGAGCCTGCGTGCTCATGTTTGCCCCGTGTGGCATTTGTTTTCAAACTATGTTTTCCGCTGCGTATTGAATTACTTATTATGTATGTTTATGGATGACTTATGTGTGAATGATATTTGAGACGCCTTTTATAATATGGATGTGTTAGACTGCGGTTGACTATTTGTATCGTACGGCGGGTTGTTGACGTGTCCGGATAGGTCCGGGGCGTGACAATTTAATTGGTATCAGAGCCTTAGTCCATAAACTTCATAATGAAGTCTCAAAATTCTCTTTTTCCAAATGATTTTGAAAATCATGAGCATAAATGTTTTGTACTTATAGAACTTTTGGTACTTGGGTTTCAAGGTCTCTAATTGTTAAGATGGTACCCTTAGCAATTGGTATGGCGGCAATTTGAGCCAAGGAGTGTCTTAACTACCTATCTGTCAATTGAAATTTGATACGAGTCTAATGACTCTTTCCAAAATTTCTTTCAGAAATGGACGGTGGTGGCAAAGTTACGAGAAGAAACCCGACGTGTCGTGCACCGGTGGCAACCGGGAAGGGAAGCCGTGGGGCCTCTAGAGTATCTAGAGGGGCGAGCCGTGGAGGCTGATCACAGACCGTGAGCGACGGTCTTGTTGACACCGAGAGTGAAACCTACTGGTCCTATGAGGACTCTACCTATCAACCTGAAACCGAACCGGTTGAGACCCCTTATGAAGGGGACGACGATGATGTGAGTGGTGAAGAGGGGGAGAATGACTCCCTAGCAAGAATTGAGGCGCTACTCTAGCAATACCAGCGGGAGCGCGAAGAAAGGAGGGAACGCCGAAGGCGCCAAGGAGGGCAACCTTCGGGTGGGGCTACAAGAGGAAGAAGGCATGGTGACTCTAGGGCCCACATCGAACCACATGGGGGCTGGGGTGATGGAGGTGCAATCATAAGGATCTCAAAATATCTCAAGGAGGCCAGAGACTTAGGGTGCAAACCCTTCAATGAAACAGGTGACATCTCGGTCATCGCTGAATGGATCAAGAGGTTGAACGAAGCAGCCCTTGACATGCAACTCACCCCTGAGTTTAAGCTAAGGGTGGCGGTGAGATTGCTTGAAGGGATAACGTCCACATGGTGGGACGGAGCCAAAGGCAAGTATGGTAGGACCGTGACTTGGGGGAATTTCCGACAGGAATTCTTTGCCCAATAATATTCTGATTTTGAAGTGAACGCTAAGTGGAGAGAGGTATACCCTCTTAACCCAAGGTGGTAAAATGACGGTGAGGCAACTTGAACACAAATTCAGGGAGCTCACGGAGTTCATACCGGAGTATGTTTGTGACGAGAACCGAATGGTTAATCACTTCTGGGATGCCTTAGACTTGGAGGTGCGTGAGAGGGCAACACTGTTGCCTAACCTGACCTTTAGCTA